TTATTTTGTTATAGATAGAAAATTCAATTTGAAATCTCACTTTTTGGATGTAGTTTATCTTCATTTACCAATAACATTTGATTTAATTTTGATTCGAAGGGAAGTCAAAAATCTCTGAAAATCACTAATTGAAAATATTTAGTCGTAAGTGCACAATATTTATATTATGGGATACTAAAATGCTCTTTTAATAAATTAAAATGTTAATTATAAAATTTAAAAAAAAATTGCTTTGTACTTTACTTTGAACGCAATGATATATCGAAGACACAAACCATCAATTATTAGCATTTAGCATAAATCAATATTATAACTTGAAATAATGAAATTGTTCCTTGTACGTTTCACAACTATTCTTTTCTATACCCAAAAACACCCAAATACACCAGTCTATTTACAAAAGTGTTAATCCATAGGAATTATTACGAACATTTTTTTCCGGGAGATAAAGCCATGTCACATAATACATAAAGAAAATATCATATGTAAAATTGTCAATTTTTAAGTTCATAGAAGCTTCTCCTTCCCCCTAAAACATATAATCAGCATTCTATTTGCAAACTACGTTCTTTCTGAAAGCATCCAATACTAGTATATAATTAATCGATTATTACGTTCTTAAATTAAATTGTTTAATCTCTCTATTTACGGTACGCATGAATACAAAACAAAATTTTTCCGTTATTTTTCAATTTACTATATAATTACATATAAACATATACATACATTGATTATCAGGAGTAGGACTATATTTGGTACTTGTTTTAATCAAAACTTAATCTATAATATTTACGTATTTGTTGTATGCATATAAAATAGTACTACCAGAAGTACGTGAATTTAAACAATCATTTATAAAATACACATATAGAGGCATATTAAGTAACATATAGGTACATTATTATAATATTAACCCCCTTAATTACAACAATGTATACATAACTTCTTTGTTGTAGATTTAATACAACTGCTTTAAATAACAATAAAATTTTATAATTATTGCAGCTATTTAAATGTAATCATTTTGTATCTTATCACATTTTTTAGAATATTGTTTTTAATCATCAAGATATTATTGTATTTTGAATGAATAAGGGTTATTTTCTTTTTTCATAATAACATTATCATCTTACGATTAAAGATTATGGTAAATTTTAAATTTAAATTTTAAAAATAATATTTAAAAAATTCATTCACGTCTACAATTATTATTTGGAAAAAGAAAAAAAAAAGCATATGGTAGGTACTGTAGAAAAATAATTTTTTTTCTATTTTTATCCACATTCTTATAAATACTCCTCATATGCTATCTGTATGTTTTCACAACTGTAAATCTTTTCCGAATCATATTTGCAATCGAGTTTAATCTGATTTCTCGTCTATTTATTTAGAACTCAAAAATTTTGCGAATAACTCAGAAAACTTGATGATATTTACCAAGCCACACATAATTAATTGAAATTTTACGAAGTACATACGTCGTTTATTTACACAAAATGACGTTTTGAGCAACGATTAGTTTGAAAGTAAATATGACATACAGACGTCATTTAATATAGTATTTTTAATAGTGACAGTATTTAATAAGTTGAATTACTATAAAATTTAATTATATTTTATTATGTTAGCTGTGAATCATAAAAACGTAAATAATATTAAAAACTATAGATTTAGTTTAAAGAGTTCAAACTTACATTAATTTTCACTGACTCCATTACATACAATAAGAGATGTTATGTGATGGCACGAAATATTTTCGGTGGAAACGCACTTAAATAAAATACTTCGGTAGAAAATCGTAAATAAACTATTTTCACAGCAATATCGAACTGTCAGTCAGTCGGTCTAATAATTATATACTACAATTTAACTCACAATCTCTTATTTTGCTTGAAAAATTTTTTTGTAGAAGTGTAAAAAGACTAATAATAAGAAAATTACTCTTTTCAAGTAAATGTCAGTACATTCCTAATACTTATCTTTAGCTTTTCTTTTCCATATCTTTATTTCTAGTATAATCATTAATTTTATCAGTTTCCGATATTAATAAATACATTTCTTATTCGTAAGCAAAGGTAATTAGATTGCTAGCTCGTTTTTTTTTTGTTAAATTTTAAAAATTCAAAAATTATTTTATAAAATTTGTAAAAGATTATCATGTCCGTATGATTTTTCAATACCAAACCTATAGTACTACTGTTAAGTACCAATGAACTTAAATTTTTTCAGCTTAATTTATTTTCATGTGCATATTTTTAGGATGCGTAATGTCTGTACTAAATTGTACTTAGATTTTAAAAAAAAAAATTTAAATAGAAAACTCTTTTGAGTTTATTAAATAAAATAAAATTGATTTTTTGAAATGAAATTTTTACAATTCGAAATGGAGGCAAGGAATTCCTTTGGGCATGTCTCTCTCTTTAGCAATAAGAAAAAAGTCCATTCACCTTATTAAGTAATAAAATTTTAATTGCTGAATGAATTACATTTCAAATTAGTTTGAATTTGAATGAACGTCCTATTGTTGAACGTCCATATGTGTTTCGTAAAATTTAATTTTGAAATCAAAATAATTTTAAGCAAATGATCTATAGTCTGATATAATTTCAGGATGTACTAATTATACCTAATAAGTGAACTAATTTTATATATGTATAATTAAATGCTATGCATTATTATTTTATGTTTCAAATAATTAATTAATTAATTAAATAATATGGAAAATTACTCTTATCTTTTATTAAACAACATTAATAGCATGCCTAATTAACGTCAGATCTTTTATATATTTTTAATATTTATAATTGACGTCACTGTATAATTATCTATTTTTGTTTTTTCAAAAACAAATTAAATGTATTTATTAAATTTGTAATAAAATAGTTAATTGGAAAAGCTCACAATTCTGCCGAATCTATAAAAAACCAAATAAATTCTTTTTATTAGAAAGGAAAACCCCAATAAATGGCTTTAATTTTTACTCACTCTAAACATATATTTTTTTAAACTATGTACTTTGGTGCTAGTAATTAAATTCTTTTTCAGAATATGTTACATGGCTTTATAGGCTTATATACCCGTACAATACTAATTAAACATTTATTGTTGATCTATACAGCATCCATGGATATAATGCAATCGGACAAAAAGTCCGATGTCTAAAATCTATACATTTATAAATTTTAATTCAAAGGTCCTAAAAAACAGTGTAAATCGAATTTAAATTTGAGAAAAATTAGAATGAGAATGGAAGTGGGACAAGAGTTAGAGCGGGAGTTAAAATAATAAAATTATTTGGGATCAACTCTATGTAGCCCTGCTAATTTAATTGCACATATAATATATATATATAAAATCGTCTCTAATTTTTCTAAATAATATTATTCCTGTAAAAAGATCTTTTCTAGTTTTATAATAAACTATAATAATAAAAATTAAATAAACATCATAAACCTATATGGTGCCTTCCGTTGTATATTAACACCTTAATTATAATAATTTAATAAAAATATTTTCCAAAATAAAAAAAATTACAAATTATTTTATAAAATTATTACAAGACCTAAATTTATTAGATTTAAATTTTTCCTATTATTATTAGATTAAAACCATATACTAGTGATAGAACTGATAATGTCATGTCAATGATAATGAAAGTGTGTTAACAATAGCCAAAGTGATACAATAAGTGTGATGAAAAAAAAATTTTGCATGAACTAATCATAAAAGTTTGTTTAATTGTATGTGATTCAGGGCCTGATCGTCTTTCTCGTTGTTTTACTCAGCAAGTGAAAAGAAAGTGAGTAAATATTTTATATTTGTATAATGTAATTTTCGAGTGAGAAAAATATTTGGTATTTCGTACCTCGTTTTTTTCTGAAATGTATGCAAAATTTATTCACTTTGTTATTGAAAGTGAGAAGTTGATAATTTCAGAAAATATGCAAAAAACCAACTGAGTTATTGAAAAAATAATATATCCATTAGAAAAACGGAGAATTCTGATTTGAAAGTGAATAAAAATTATTACACGATTAAGCTGTTAATCAAAAACTTAACCGTGCGTTATATTTTTATTTTTGATGTACAGGTCATAGAATTGTAGATTCGAGAGGAAAAATATTGTTATTTATTACTAGCTATTATTTATTATGCATTATTATGATTAGTCCATTTGATTGTCTTATAGCTAAAGCTTCCTTAGCTTAAATATGTTATAGTTGATTCAATAACATAGGAGTGGTTTAAATATTTTCTAATTAATAGAATTTTTGCTTGTTTTCCTATTAATTCTCAAACATATGAATGACATGAATAGTTGGGCTTACCAATACTCAAGTAATACCTCGATTCAGCTTAATAAATTTTCCCAAACGATTTCGATTTGTAAAAGTCAGTGCCCTTATTAATGTCGCTATTGTTTTGAAACCAACTTTGCACGAAATTTCTCAACTTATATGAATTATTTAACTGTATTTTAATTAGATAATAATTAATAAACATAAATGCTAATATCAATAACTATTTTACTTACTACAATAATAAAATTTTAATATATTTTATCATTTTGAAATAAAAATTCAACTAATATTAATATTATATTATATGGAAAATCAATTAAGTACCTATTACAAGAAAAAAACCCAATAATCAGTTGAATGATAAATAAAATATTTTCTATTTTTATTATTAAATTTAATAATTTTATATTTATGCAAAATATCCTTTGTTTTATACACAATTTTTTTCTAATGTCTATACTATTTAATTATATTTATTTATATTGCGATAAAATAATACAAATTAAACTAACAAATTTTTTAATAAAATTTATTATATGTACGAGTATATATTATATAAATATGTAAATATCGTAATAAAATAGAAAAACAAAATTATAATTAGATCACAGTAAAGGTATAAAAGGTCTACAATTTTCCTTTATTAACACAAAATATTTTATTATATTGTCAATATAACATTGTTAATATCGCGAAATTAAATATTTTCAAATACAAGAGCAATATCAAAATTTACATTCTAAATTTGTAACTCAATAAATAAGCAAAAACAAAAAAAAAAAAACAGAAATGAATAATATTTGGTTTAAAATTTTAATTTTAATTAAATTGATATCATCAATTTGTTTTGCAATTACAAATAATATTGAAAAAAATGAAATTAATAATAAAACATTAAGAATGTTAACATCATCACCAAAATTATCATCAATATCATCTGATACAAATATAAAATTACATCGTCCATTATTAGATGGTCAAATAATTGGTGGTTATCCAATTAATATAAAATCAGCATCATATTTAGTATCATTACATTTTATTAATCATAAATGTACTGGTATATTAATTGATAAAAATTGGATATTAACATCTGGTCATTGTACAACACATTTACAACCATATAATTATTATATATATATGGGCTCAAATAATATTGAAAAACATAATGGTTTAGTTGTTAAAGTTGCTGAATTATATCGTCATCCAAATTATACAAAAAATTTAGATTATGATTTTACATTATTAAAATTAGTTAATTATAGTTCAATTGGTTATAATATTAATATTGCAAAATTACCAGAACAAAATGAAGAAATACCAGATGGTATTAAATTTAAATTAATTGGTTGGAATAAAAATGATAATAAATCATTATTTAAAGAAAATAATGAGAATATGAGTTTAAAAGCAATTGATGTTATAAAAATTAATTCAACAAAATGTCATGAATTATATAAAAATCGTGGTGGTATTACTGATCGTATGTTTTGTGCAGCTAAATATAATTATCATAATAATAATGATAATGATGATAATGGTATATGCCATGCTGAACCTGGATCACCAATTATTATTAATAATAAAGCAATTGGTGTTGCATCATGGGGTTATGGTTGTAAATTATCCGATTATCCAAATGTATATGCAAAAATATCATATGTAAGAGATTGGATTAAATATACTAGTGGTGTTTAAAGCAAAAAAGAAATGTATAATAAAATAACAATACAAAATCACATAATTTTTTAATAAAATCACATATAATTTCCTAATTAAATTATGATTTACATATATAATATACATACATCTATCTAATAGAATTAGGAAGTAATCAATGAAAATGTTTAGCCCTTATTAATTATACAAATAGTTTGTAAGAGAATTTTTATGTACAATTTTAAAATTAATTATACAATTTTTAACTAAAAATTTATTAATTTACTGAAAATTATAATTTTTTATGTATGAAATACAATATAAAAAAATTAAATTATTTATTTATTTAATTTCTTTTATAAATGCATTTGTATTCATAAAAGGACCCCTATTCGAAGTACAGGTCATTTTTTTTTTGTTTTTTTTTTCAATTTCTAACTTTCATTAAATATTTTACCATGAAAATTTAAAAATTTCACTTTAAAACAAAAACATTTTGTAATAATTCAAAAAAATTGCATAGTTTTAGGCTTGCGTCTTATTGAATTTTATAGAAATTGCAGTAGAAAATGGAAAGCAAAATTTTATTATTAAAATTATTTTGAATTTTTTTTTATTTCTCAAAAATAATACCAAAATTAATTCACAATAGATTACATTGATCAATAATCAATTTTAAAACAATTTTGGAAAATAATTGTAGACTTTCATATTGTTACTTAATCCTTCAAGGTACAAGAAATTGCATTTGATCGAAAGGACATAAATTATTTGGTTTTAATTTTATCTCATAGTTATGGTAATTAAATTAAACTTAAATTCTTTAAACAGTATCTTTCACATGAATGATTCTGAATGAAATTTAGAGTTTTTTAATGAGTCGATTCAAAAATTTTTTTTAACTTCATAGTGGAATAAACTTTCAAGTCTATTCGCAACATTTTAGCTAGGATAAATAAATAATTTATGATACGATGTAGTAAAAATCTACAAAGAAAAACTCGAAGCTGTGTACCTATTATCCTATAAATAAATATTAATAAATAATTTGAAAATTATTAAAATTAACAAATAATAAGTATATTTGAATATGAATTGATTTCAGATGCATTCGAACCTATTTGCAGCCCTATACTTTGCTTATATCATTAAATAACATCTAAATATAAGTATAATAGTTAATAATAGAAATACGAGTATATTGTATAGTTGTGGTATTTCATTGTTTTAATTATATTTTTCCTTTTGCTCTTAATATAATTAAAAATATTAACCATTAGCTTCCATATTTTATTCTACAGTTATTTTCACACAACGTACACCATATTAATGTTATATATACAATAACCATAACTTTGTAGCATAAAAATTTTCCGCAAAATATGTTCTAAAGACAACAACATACACCGTGCATAGTTACCATATTCACACATTTAATAATCTGTCTTAAAAATTTTCTCTTACCATTTATTTAAAACACAGCTTTATCTAATGTCAAACAGCGTATAACAGGAAAAAAGAAACCGTATGTAATATAAAAAATGAAAAACAGAAAAAAAATAGAGTATCTAACATATTATTAAGTTTCTTATGACGTATATCTTCCTGTAATATTAATGATAATGATAGTGATAGCAGTAGATATGAAATAAAAAAACTAACATAATCTAAATAGTACGGCGACTTCAAAAAAACAATGTATACAATAAGATGTTATACATATATAAAACAGTAACAATATAAAACCGAAATCATAGACGTATGTATAAAATATATACAGTTAAATATACGAATAAATTGTGTAAATATTTTCATAAAATAACGCAATTGACTTGTGGGACAATGTTAAAGTTATTATTTTTTATGATTTAATTACGTACTGCCTTCCGAGTCGGCTTCCCGAAAACTGGCTCTCGAGCTTACACTACATAAAATTTATTGTAACAATTTTGTATAAAACAATGATAAATTCTGCTACTATATTAATAAAAAATTTCGTTCTTCTGAGTTTTAATTAACACTCCTGAGTTCTAATTACTGAATTGTTCAATAATACAGTATGAGCAAATACCAAAATGCAGATCTGACTCCAATTTGAATAATTCAGCAATACAAATTTAAATAATTTTAATTTTTCATAATTTAGAATTAAAGTTATTAATGCGTTATTTTAATTTAAATATCAGGGAAAGTAAAAAAGCAGTTTTCCTTAAAACAATATATATATACTTTATTAAAGATTAATTGAATTTTTAATTTTTGACAATAACATTTCAAATGTCATCGCAAATACGCAAATAAAATAATTAAACTCGATTTTTCTCTCGATTTTTGTATTTTTAAGTCACAGATTCTTCAAAGCTTCTTATTTCTCGAAAGAAATATCAATCAAAAAAAAAAAAAATTCAACTCGCAATTCAATTCCCATCTTCAATATTCCATTTACATACGGATGTATAAAATTTGTATATATTATACTGTATATATACGGATATATAAAATTTAAAATTACCGCATATAAGAATTTTATTTTGAAATTCTTAAAAAAAAAAAAAGAAATAAAGCAAATCATATAGGACAATGCTTTTTAGAAAAAATTAATATATATTTACAAGCGGATTTTAAATATTTGTATTTATGTATATATATCCATATTTTTGCTTTGTAAATATATGTAAAACTGTATGTATATTTATTATAGTTATATATTTTAAAAATAAACGTATAAATGTATATAAATGTACAGTAATTGCTAGGAAATATTCCTGTCAGGATTAAAACGAATACGTGACTTGGAAATTAATTCAATGATTTTGTCAAAAAATTGAAGCCAAAAAAATATACAAAAAAAAATTTCCCTCTATAACAGTAAATAATGTCTTAAAATTTCTGTTATAAGTTCATAATATCAAAATATAAGATAAAAGGATTCTTATAATTATTTTTCTTGAAATTGTAATTTTGTTCAAAAAAGTATTTAGTTTTCGAATTATAATATTTTTCAAGTGAATTTTCTAAATTCAAACATGTTCGGGTAGCAGTAAATATACATAGTCTTATTAAAAGCAAGCCTAACACTATAAAATAAAATTTCACTATGTTTATTTCAAGTGCTAAAAATTAATTAATTTTTGAAAATGAATGATTTAAAGTAGAACATGTTTGGGCAACCTCTATTAAAACTTAACCTATAAAATTAAATTTTCATCTTTTATTTCAAGTATACTTTAAATAAGCATTCATTAATTTTACCAAAGGTATCCTCTAAAATAGAGTATGTTTGGGCAACAATGAATATTCACGATTTCATCTTAAATAAAATTCAGTATATAAAATTAAATTTTACCATTTATCACAAGTAATGTTATGCTTCACCTTACAAAGTACCAATAAAATAGAACATGTTCGGGCGCCAATGAAAATTCACGATTTCATCTTAAATAAAACTCAGTATATAAAATTAAATTTTACCGTTTATCTCAAGTATTGTTAGATTTCACTTCTCAAAGTGTCAATAAATTTCTTTAAAAGTTTCCTTAGAACTTGCTCTGGCAGCAATTATTCTAAATTTTTTTTTTATTGAGTTTCACCGTTTATTTCAAGTATAATTAGTTTTCTGAAATCTTTTAATACCGTCCTCTATTTTACATGCTATTTATATCCTATAGTTACTAGTAACAGAATTTTCACATATTTTAAATTTTTTTCTGTTTGTTTCTCGCAGATTAATCTTGGATATACACATACATGTATTTTTTAGCATAATAACTCCGAAAAAAAAATAGAATAAAATTATTATTATTTTTTTGTTCATTCATTCTCTTTTGTTTCTTTATCCTTGTTTAAAAAAACAAAATTTCCAGATATTATATAAAAGATAATGTAGAAAATTATCCTTTACAATATAAATTTTATTCATATAAATATATATTTATATTCGTGTATGTTTGTATATACAATAGAAAACGTGTATCCTTTTTCCATGCATTTTTTAAACTTTTTTTGTTTTTCACATATAATTTTTGTTTTCTTTGTATAATTTGAACTTCTTTTAATGCTTGCTTAACAGATTCAAGGAAATTCAATATGACGATGTTATGTTATCCTTTCCTATTAAATATAAATACACATATGTTTTAAAAAACAGAAAAATAAATGATGAGGAGAAAAAGGAGCAGGAATGCATTTTCATATGATTTTTATTTTTAATTTTACAATTTTCGTTTTTTTTCTCAAATTGAAATTTTCGGATAGAACAAAAATTCTATATTGGAAATTTTCACTTAAGAACAATTTATTTTTATAAAATAATATTTAAAAAAAAAGGACGTGTTCATTATTATATTATGTATGAGAGTATGATGATTTCTATGAAATAATTAAATGGGTTGGACCAGAGTTGGACGCAAGAAAAATTGCTTATTATTCGAAAATATTTAAGGGATGTGTATAAAATAGCTTTATATTGTATAATTGTATAATAAAATAATTATTAAATTGTGATTTCTAAATTTCTTTCTTTTATAAAAAATCATGTTGTTGAAGAGTAATTAAAAAACTATTTTAAAATTTAATAATTGAAATCATTTGAAAAATAGTGAAATTTTGTTGAAAATCTAGGATTTTTAATCAGATATTCATTAAATATATTAACAATTTATAGGGGGTTTTAATTGAAATTTTATTAATTTTTAATGACCAAAACCATGTTTTGCAAAATAGCCAACTTTTTTCTTGTTTAAGTCTAGAAAATTAAATTTATATTTATTTGTAATTTTATAGGTTTAAATAAATAATGAGTAAAATCTATTCAAGTAATTAATAATTTTATTACCAAGTAATAAATTTTGCATAAATTTAGGAGAAATCTCAAATTTAAGACAATAATGAAAAAATTTAATTTTATTGTTAATTATTTCAGTTAAAGCATAAGAATATTGTTTTAGAAAAAGCTTATTGTAAGCTCAAATAAAATGGACAATTATAAAATGACTCCTTGGAAATATTGTAAATATATACCTACTTATAGTAATAGGTCAATAGAGGGGGGGAAGTAAAATAAGAATTTTGCTCTTATAAAATAAAATATTTATCGATGTTAATATACACTGACAAAATTTAAATATAATTTGAGTTACCGTTTATGTGAAAAGTTAGTCCAAAAACTAATGAAATAAACTACTTAGAAATTATGATCAATTTTAAGGATCAGTTTGTCATCCTTAATAACATTTACATACCGTTTTTTTTAATGGTGTAAAAGAAAATCATTCCCAGATATTTCGACACTATTACAGAATTAAAAAATTGTATTTGATATAGATACAGTACAATTTTTTCTAAAGATTGCAGTCATAAAGACTTTCAAAAATTTTGAGAATCAAAAAGAAGAGTAAGAATTTTCTGATTTAGAAGAAAATTCTGAATTTTGTTCTGAGAAGAGAAACACAAATACTGAAAATATGACAAAACTGAAATTACGAATTCAAGGTTAATTCCCAATATATTGAAAATATCGTAAATATTTGTGATATTATAAAGAAATTTCGGATTGTAATAAAATTTAATTATTCGCGGTGAATTTTTCAATTCTTGTAAAATTTTTAATCAAATATTTTAAAACTATATTTTTAATCCCATAATATAAACTTGTATAAAATTAAAAAATAATATTTTATCACCAAAAAAAAACCATCACTCTCTTAAAAAATTAATATGAAAGAAAGAATATAAAATTAATTTATTAAAAGAGAAATGAAGAAAGTATCACTTTGAAAATAACACTTAAAAATGTTTGTCACATCATCACAATCAATTTTTATTTTTATTGTGTTTTTTTTTTTAATATAGTTTTCAATTTATTTTACACATCAGAAAAATGTCCTTTTTCTTAAATTACAGGGTTGAATAAATAAATAAATAAATAAAAAAATAGTAGTATAGAAAAGCTTGATTGATGTTTTACGAATTGAATAATCGAAGTTAATAAATTTTGAAAGGATAATTTGTTTTTTTTTTTTTTTCATTTCAATCTTGCCTCATACAATGCCCCTCCTCTGCGGCTGCCATCCCTTCATCACCTTAATACGTATACATATTAAAATATAAAATATTTTCTTTTTATTAAATGTTTATTTTTTTGTTATTTCTGTAATGTGTAAGAAAAAAAATTTTGTTGTAAAATAAAAAAGGATATCTTTGATTACGAAAATTATAATAAAAATTTGATAAAATAGTTTCCTATTTTTTTTCTTTTAATATCCTTAGAAATATAGTGGAATAATAATATATGAATATCAAAGATCGGTTATCTAAGAGATGGTCAAGAACAATATAGTCTTAAATTGTGACAGAGAAGTTCAAAGGATCATATTGGAAATTTTTGTATGTTTTACGTATGTAAAAGAAAAAAAAAAACCCCAAATTTGATGGTAATCCTGAATTGAATTTTAAAATATTATTTTGAATTTAGATTTGTTATTTTAATATTTTGTAATTTTACATGTATTTTATTTCTTATTATTTGTGTTCCATTTGAACGTATAACACTTAAATAATGTGTAGCCTGCTCATTAATACTAGCCTATATTCAATAAAATAATTATTTAAATTTATTCCGGTAGATGGCTTTATATTTTTAATATTAAAAATAATAATAATAAATTCTTATTAAAATTTAAAATTATAGGTTAGTCCTATAGTCACTTTTGACGCTATAGGATTTCCATATGAAGAACTTTCTATTTGCAAACTATAATTTCGACTTATTCGGAATAGTTTAATAGACTGTTAAAATGGAAAGCAAGCATGATAATCGTATAACTATGTGTTTAAAATTTGCTTAATATTAATTTGCTCCTGTGTCTAACTCATTTTCCTCAATATTTTTCTCTTCTACGAATTATAAATGAATATTTTTAACAAATATACCGTATTTATGCATATTTGAAAGAAAACAAAAACAATATACGGATTCCCCTTTGAATATACATTTTTAAATTTTAAAAAATAAAAAAAAAAATTGAAATGGGATATCAAAAGTATTAGTGATAATCCAACAATAAATAATTTGAATCAACTGAAATTTATTAATAAAAAAAAATATTTGTGACATTATTATGTCATACCTATTAAATATGTTTGTCATATTTGACACGTGTTAAAGGAAATTTTTGCAGAGAATTGAATTTTTTTTAACATTTTCATACATATGTAAATGTATTGACACACGCGAGTATTTATATATAAACATACTTATATGCTCATAACATATGTGTGTATAACGGAAATTTGTGAATAATTTTAATGGGCAACTATTATGGAACAAATGAAAAATATTAGGCATTGAATTCAATTCATTGAAATTTTAAAAGATTTGATGTGAATGTTTTCACATTCTAAAACCCCACACACCGATACGACACCGCAACTGCATTTCTATACAACACATACTATTCAACTCATGAGAACCTATTTGCTGAGATGTTTGATTGTCAGTATTCAGATGCTATATTCCGATGAATGTTAATTTATGCCGTTATAAGTTGATTTATTACTACTATAATTAATTAAAAATTTAATTTAACATGTTTTTTTTTACAAAATCATTTATTTATCTTATTCTTAAGTCAAATTCGAAATATATTTTTTATTTTCATAGTATCTTCATCTTATACACCACTAACTTCACGAATCCAATTTCTTGCAAATGCAACTCTAGCATAAACACCTGGATAATTTGGTATAGCACAACCATAACCCCATGAAACAACACCAACAGCTTTATTACCCCATACTAATGGACCACCAGAATCACCTTGACATGAATCTTTACCACCTTCTTTGAAACCAGCACAAATCATACGATCACTAATATTACCTGGATATGCAACACCACATTGTTCTTCATTTACTTTTGCAACATAAGCAGCACGTAAAACAGCACGATCATCTGATGGTACTTGTGTATTACCCCATCCGCTAACACGTAATAATGTACCATCTGGTACTGGTTCATCTTGTTCTGGTAATTCAGCAAAACCAATAACAACATCACTTGCATTATAATTATCTAATTTTAATAATGAAAAATCCCAATCTAAATTTGTATATTCTGGATGTGGATGTACTTCGGTAACAGATACTTCAATACCATCACGTAAATTATTTGATGAACCCATATATATTTTATATGTTGATGGTGATAAACTTGTTGTACAATGTGCTGCTGTTAATACCCATTCTTTTGATATTAAAATACCACCACAACTATGTCTTGGTTTACGTAATGATACTTGATATGGTGCATCTTTAATATCAATTGGTTGACCACCAACAATACGGCCATCTAACATTGGACGATATTGTAATTTATCGGCCAATGTTATGGCAATAATTGAAATTATAATTAAAATGCTTATTATTGAACGTGACATTATACAATTGTATACTAAATGTATTTTTAAATTCAAAGTCCTTTTTATATTAAAAATTTGTACAGATTTTTGGACGAAATTACAAATTTTTTAGTCATTAATCAATTTTATGCATAGTATTGTTGTATTTTAGAAATTAATCCAATGTAATATGAAATAAACTATAAATATACACAAAGTCTAATTTAATCATAATAAATTTATTATTTATGACTTATTAAGGTTTTAATATTAAAACTTTTAATATTAGATTTAGTGACGTACATTTAATTGTTAATATATTACACTTGATAAAATACCAAAATAAAATCAACTAATCAATCAATTTTAAAAGTAAGTCGTGTGTTTAAATGATAACACAATTGTGATAACAAAGTTATCTTAATCCTTCCACTCAAAAATTATACAATTTACAATATTAATATTTGTCAATCATTAAAATAGTAAAATTATCAAATTTAGGCTGACTAGCTTGAAAATTTTATTACTTTATTGATATTCAAATATAGTGTATGACATGAATTCCTTATTTACCGTTCAGGAAATTTTCTCCTTCCCTTTCTCAAAAATTACATAAATTTATATGTGTATATATGTATGTATGTAATATTTAATATTATTATTCATAATTAGTACATGAGAAAATTTTCAATTATCTTTATTGTAATTCTAAGTTCAGCAATGATAATAGTTCAACAATTGAATAAGAATATTAAAATAGAATTGATAAAATCTGTGATTTGTAAAGTAGCACATTTCATTTCAACAATTTGAGTGAAAAACCATTTTCTCGTATGGGCAGCACGTTTACTTTTTAAATTATATTGAAAAATTCTTAATAATATATCATTATTGATAAGACGAAAGATTTGCACAATGAAAATGTTCTTTAAGTATTTATTTCAAATTTTATGAAAGCTAGGAACTTTCTAGTTAGAATTAGAAAAAGAAAAATACAAATTTAATTCTTGAAGAGTTTAACTTCCTGCCTAATCCAATTTCAATGTAAAGTTTTTCAGTTGCGGTTTTGTTTACAAACCGCACTCAAATACTAAATTTTCGTTATTTAATCCAGAATTCAAATACTAGAATTTCGTTTAGTCCGTTAGATAGGAGAGAAATGTAGAATTGGTTGCCAATAAAATTTCCAAAAAAAAATTGCTGATTGTTTTACCAGACACAATTAAAATATTAAAATTTCTAAGAATTCCGTTCATTACTTCACTATATAGATATATGGGCAACAATGTGAATTCGATCCGAAGTAAAAAATCTAGTTACTTGCACTTGATTCTTTTTGCATGTCGTGGTGGCTCGTCGCATACTATATATCAAGATTATACAATATGAAATTTCAAGAAAATCCTTTTTTTTTTAAAACGTAATAGTTAAAAAAACGTAAAGTCGTCCGCTTTTAAAGGTCCAGTCCCCTTAAAGCTGATCAATCACATTGTCAAAGTAAATCAAGATATGTATACATTTTCATCAAAATCGATTCAAACCAAAAATTAAGGTACACGAGTGCAGAAGGGTAAGTGTAAAATTTCGTTAATTGCAGCATATCCCCCGCACCTCAATTAGCAAAAATGGGCCGTTTTTCTACTACTACCCCTTGATTATCAGGCCGTCATTAAGCATACTATTAGCGATGGCCTATCTAAGCCATCCGGTTCTTTTGAGAAATCTATTTAAATAACCGATGCTTTTCTTCGAAATGTCGTCCAGCCACGTCTCACTTGCTCTGTCCCATGTAATCACACTGAGTCCATGTAATTACGCCCATAGCTTGACCCTCGTAGAGATTGTGTAAAATTTCGTATTTGAAAATGATTTTCTAATTGATGTTTCAGATTTTTGTTTGGAATTTTCGGAACAAATGGATAGATACACATATAGTGACGGACAAAGGAATCGTCTCTAGTGAAGGAGAGAGGAATATCATTTAATATTGTATTAACTAGCTGCTTTTCGCAATTATAGACTTTTCAAAAACCTAAAATTAATATGATTTTTTTTCATTTTGCTTTATGAAAACCATTCAAATAATTTATAAATAAACATCTCAAGTTTCGATTATGAAATTTTAAGGCAAAAATTCGCACAATTATCAATGCCTCCTGGGGAAATTGATACGATTATTTCTAGAAATCAGGATTTTTTTTTTAATTTTTGTTAAATAAAAAAACTCAATATAATAAAAGCTTTAAAATTTTTTTAGGATTAAAAAACTGTTTAATGTTAACTCATGCATCAAGGATTTTTACAAAATAAAAATGTTGAAGCAATAAAAATTATTTTTCTTATTTCATTTTTTTTTTTATTTATACTCCAGAAACTTCAGAAATCCAATCTCTAACATATGAAACTCTAGCGTAAACACCTGGATAATTTGGTACAGCACAGCCATAACCCCATGACACAACACCAACAGCTTTATTTCCCCATACTAATGGACCACCAGAATCACCTTGACATGAATCCTTGCCACCTTCTTTGAAACCAGCACAAATCATACGATCAGTAATATCACCATATGCATCATTACATTCATTTTCATTAACTTTTGCAACATGAGCAGCACGTAATAAAGCACGATCATCTGATGGTATTTGTGTATTACCCCATCCGCTAACACGTAATAATGTACCATCTGGTACTGGTTCATTTTGTTCTGGTAATTCAGCATATCCAATTGAAAATCCATCAGAATTATAATCTTCTAAATGTAATAATGCATAATCCCAATCTAAGCTGCCATATTTTGGATGTTGATGTACTTTAAGAACTTTAACTTCTAAACCATTTTTAAGATTATTTGATGATCCCATATAAACAGAATAAGATGAGCCTGGTGATACGCAATGAGCTGCTGTTAAAACCCAATGTTCGGCAATCAATATACCACCACAATTATGACCCCATGATGTTCTTAAAGAAATTTGATATGGTGCTTCTTCAATATCAATTACTTCACCACCCACAATACGACCATCTAATAATGGTCTTATATGACGGCCAGCTAAAACAGTAGCTAAAACGCCACATAACAAAACAAATCCAATAGTTAATCGGTACATATTACTGTTACTAATTAATTTTTTTTCAAATTATAACCCACTTTTTATACAAAATTCCTCTAAATTTTAAATAAATTCATTTTTTTATCATTTTTGCAATTAGATTAAAATTGAAGTATTGATTATTTAGAAAATTTATTGGTTATTAAAAAGTTTAATTTTTTTTAATTCTTCTTGATAAAATTTAGATTTTCAGTACTCGTATTAAAATTTTTATTCACAAATTTTAAAGCACTTCTAATTAAATAAACTAAAATAAAATTGCATATAATTAGGCTACCTTTTTAATCCAATTTAAAAATTTTTCTATTGTTTAGAAAAGCTTGGAATAGAAGAAGATTATTAATAAATTTCTACTGATTACCAAAATGTTAACTCATTGCCATAAAACTGTTTATTTTTCTTTGATTTATACAGGACTCTTAAAGTCTTAAACTCTACTTGAAATGCCTATATTGAATTGATAAGTAGAATTTCCAAGTAATTTTGAAATTTTTTAAGTAAAAACTTAATATTTAATTGATGCTGCTTATAATTATGGCATGTATTTTTCTTTGGAAGTTTATTTTGAAAGTATTAAAAAAAATTAAAGCAGGACAAGCAACTTTAGAATTTTACTCCAACAAAATCTAAATGAAATATAATCTGTAATCTGCTTCATTTCCTAATTGAAATGGTATTGCTGAAAAGTCAATCTTACTCGCGAGTAAATTTGCATTTAGACACACGGTCTATTAAATAATAAGATAATTATAGTTATATAATTAGGAGATGATATTTAAAAGTTACTGTGCTTATGTTTAACACTTTCTAATACATTTATTAATTGTGGCATTCAAAATTCGTAAACACAATTATCTTAGAAGTTGAAATCCCTAATTCTATCAAAGGTTGCTAAACTATGCTAAACAAAGAAAAAAACGATTACAGTAGGATAATATATTATGGAATTTCCAATAATAAAAAAATTTCTGTAAAAAAGATAAGATATTTGTATAAAATCTATGAAATAATAAAATTTAAATGCCCATATATAGGACAATAAAATTCTTAATGGATTAATTAGTTACAAGTGCGCCACTTAAATTATGATTATATTTCTTATATATGGTCGTATTAAGTTCGAGAACTCTGATAATTTTAAACTAAATGATTTTAAATATTAATTTCATTTACTACAATTAAACCAACATAAATATCAAGAAGAAATATGAAGGAGTCATTAATATGCAACTTATATTTCTAAGTATAAACACAAATAAATTAAGCATAATTGGCAAATCTCTTTGAATTTAATTGGAGCAAATTTCTGCTTGAAATTTGAAGTTTTATGCAATTGAAGGAAAACCAATAAAAGGCTAAAAATTTATAACTCGCTGCATTACCTGCTTTACTCTATGACGGAATATAAAAGTGAAAATATAAAAATTTACCTTTTCAATAAGTTCTAGTAATAATATTAAACATTTTATTTACTTCAGTATGGCAAATATTACAGTCACAGGCTAACTGGAATTAAACCTACAATTTTTATTAAATTGCAGTTAATTCCAGTTACTGCACACTATTAATTCAATTAAAAATTTTAAAATTATTTAATACAGATCTAATTTATAATCTCTTTACTTATAAATGCAAATATCAACACTATATCAATTTTTATAATAATTAGAAACTATTTTGTATGCACTTAGCTATCGAGTGCAAGTACTTGAAATGTCTGTTAAATAGTTATCTATACTCGTTCGATAAAATATTTCATATATAAATAGATCAAGCATTTAGCAAGTAGCAATAATTCCAAATTTTATAGTTCTGTTCTTTAGTTGTTCTTTATTTTAAATTAAAAGAAAAAAATGTTGCGCTACACTATTTTTTTAATAGTTGGATTTATAACAATAATTCGAGGTTATGATTTACCTAAACCATTCCTTGATGGTCGTATTGTTGGTGGTGTTCAAGTAAATATTTCGGAAATTCCATATCAAATTTCATTGCAATATTATAATAGACATATTTGTGGTGGATCATTAATTGCTAAAAATCTTGTATTAACTGCTGCTCATTGTACAGATGGTAGTTCTCCATCATCACTTAGTGTTCGTATTGGATCATCAAAACATGCAAGTGGTGGTATACTTGTACAAGTAGAAAATATTCATCAACATCCAAATTTTAGTTATTCAACAATTGATTGGGATTTTTCAGTTTTAAGATTATCAAATTATAGTAACCAAAATTTAACAATTGGTATTGCAAAATTACCAAAACAAAATGAAAAAGTTCCCGATGGCACTATTGTTAGGGCATCCGGCTGGGGTAATACGCAAAATCCACAGGAATCAAATAGTAATTTAAGAGCTGTTCAATTACCAATTGTTAATCAAGATCAATGTAATAAAGCTTATAAAGCATATGGTGGTGTAACACCAAGAATGATTTGTGCTGGACTTAAAGAAGGTGGAAAAGATTCTTGTCAAGGTGATTCTGGTGGTCCATTAGTACTTAATAATACATTGATTGGAGTTGTTTCATGGGGTTACGGTTGTGCGGTGGCGGGTTATCCTGGAGTTTATGCACGTGTTCCTGCAGTAAGAGATTGGATTCGACAAGTTTCTGGTGTTTAAATAATAATTTTTATTTATAAATCTATTCCTGTTGTGGTTTCTACATAAAATATGTTTAAAAAATATATATTAAAGAATATGTTATGAAAATTTTTTTAATTGCTATTTATGTGATTGTGAAAAATTGTGATTAAGTATGAGCTAACTACCGACTTACCTCAAAATTAAAAATTACATATTATATCAAATATTATAGCCTTATTCGATTTTATCACTTTTCTTAGTAAAATGAGAAATTTTTTTATATTTTCTGCTTAATTTACACCATTCAATTTATATAATTTATGTTTTCAAGGGTAACGGGCTTTGTACTTTTTGTCATTAAATTTTAAATAATTATTAATATTTCAAATTGAAATTGTTAGTGAATAATACATTACTATTGTGAATGCGGATATTAATTCTGTCATATAAAAGGAAATTTCTTGACGTAAAACTTTTTTTATTTTAGGAATCATTTATTTTTTTTTTGATGATTTAATAATCACATTCAATGGAAGAACGAACAAACAATATGTTGCAGCAAATGTTGAATATTGTTTGCCTTACCCACTATTATTAAAAAAGTGTGAAAAAAACTAATTTTAACAAAGTGTGAACATACCTATGAAAAATAGCACAAATCACAATAAGTACAATAAAAATGACATTCTTTACTTCATTCATAAATTCGCCTATTACTTGTCAAAAGTTAACATTTCGCATTGAAAAATGAAATAGTAAACACTGAGAATTTTGTTGGAACTTAGCATTTTAAATACTGAAAAAGTAAAACTAAAATTACAATATGAGGTAAATTCTACTAAGATTTATAATTTATTGCTTTTTATATTTTAATAAAATTTTTAATTTAAAAATATTCTTTTTTAAAAAGACAGATTATTGTCATCAAATTTTTCAAAAAATATCTATCCTATAATACATCAAAAATTTTTAAATAATTTACAAATACCTAAAATAATTAAAAATATTTCTCAAAATACTAATTACAATAGGAAATTGGATAATCCTTCAGCAAGCAGAAATTGTCAACCAATTTTAAATGTTTTAAAAAATGTTTTGAGTAAAGAGAAACCATTACGTCTATTAGAAATATCATCTGGTACAGGTCAACATTCAGCTTATTTTTCAAATGAATTTCCAAATATAACATTTCAGCCATCTGAATACGATACAACAGATTTTGAAAGTATTACAGCATATGCAAAAGACTGTAAAAATCAAAATGTTCTTAAACCAATTTTCATAGATATTTCAAGAGATTATAAAACATGGGAAAATAAATTTGATGAAGAAAGTTTTGACTATATGCTTAACATTAATATGATACATATAACACCATGGCGTTGCACCGAAGGTTTATTTAAAAATGCATCACATTTATTAAAAAAAAATGGTTTACTAATAACTTATGGACCATATGCTGTTAATGGTATTTTAACACCAGAAAGTAATGTTAATTTTAATTTATCATTAAAGAGTCGTGATCCAGAATGGGGTGTACGCGATATACGTGATTTAAAAGAATTAGGAAATAAATATGGTATTGTATTTAAGGATAGTACAGATATGCCAGCAAATAATAAAACTTTAATTTGGCAAAAAATTTAAAGATGCTTAAATTATTCAGATGTGAGGATTTTTCTATACGATTAAGGACATTATTTGACATTTTCGGGCTACATAATTTTTATATTACTTACAAGATATTTGTTTCAACTTTTGATTTTTGTTTATAAGTTATAGAAGCCAAAATTTATTAATTTTTATTTTTGTTTTTCAATAGTCTTCAACAACTTACTGTTACCTATAAATTTAGTTACAACTAATATCCTTTTCATTATATTTTTTATATAAATTTACGACTTAATATTTTAAAACACACAATGGACATAAAGTAATCTTTAAAATTTTGTATTATTTAATTTATTGTATTTCTATAAATGAAAAATAAAATTTGAATAAGAAAATTTTATTGCTTTGCTTTTAAATTATATACCATTATATTCCTGAAACTTTAGGAAATATAAAACTAATTCTACTGAGAGTAGAACATTGTTTATTATTAAAAATTTCAAAAATCCATGCTTTGAATTTTATTCTTTTTGAACTGAAGAACTCTTGTTGAACTCTTTAACTTTCTTCACATTTCGAATAGGGATGTTCACCATTTTTACAAACCAAAGGCAGTTGTCAAAAATTAAAATTAAAGAGTTGAACTCATCTACTGATTAAACACGCTAAAAGAAGTTTTTCCTAACCCATATTACATAAGGTCATCAGAACACCACCTTGCTATGCCTTTTTTGCCATCTGAAATTTAAACTGTTCATGCACATTTAAATTAAATAAAACTTGTTTTTTTTTTGTTAATTTTAAATTTATTGAATTTATTTTTTTTATTAATTTTGTATTCTATTTTTTCTTTTTATATTGAATCGTATATCATTGCAACAATATTTTAATTTTTATATTTTCTTGAAATTTCATTTGTTTTTTTTAAGTTTTTATAATTTTATAAAGTTATTTTTTTTTAGCCAAAACGTGAAATAAGAAAACGTTATTTAAATTCTTTTATAACACATATTTATCATGGAAAATCTATTGAATTAAAAACGAATCAAATTGAATTAGATAATAATTTTACTTGTTAACTTATCATTTACGTAACAAATTCAATTTTAATTTTAAATTAGATTTAGAAAATGTAACTTATTGGTTTTCATTAAAAAAAATTGAAAATATACACAAAAGTTCCTATAGAAAATTTTTAAATTTTTAATTTTAATTCGCACGAAATTCCATAACAAGTATTAATTAAATAATTTCTTGTTCTCATATATGTATATTTAATTTTAAGACAAATATATGGATAATGTTAAAAATTTTGTTATTTTTTTTTTATTTTATGGGAAAATTTCAATATTTACATGTGTAAATTGCCAATAAAGTTTTTGGATATTTTCAATAATTTTTTTCGAACAACTTTAAACAGGGATTTTCCGGTACAATCTGATTATCATGATTTAATATATGTGTTTATTTTTTTTTTTATTGTTTTTAATATTTAATATATATTTTTGAATTTTTATTTTAAATTTAAAATATTGTAGAATAAAAGTTTTTTTATTTAATTGTTTTTTTTTTTGTTACATTTTACGTACATATACCAAATATTGTTTTTAAACATTATACATATTAAATTTTTTTGTTTGCTTTCAATCTACAATTTAATTATAATTTTTGCTGTGAATATATTTAATATTGAATAATTTAATGGTTATAATATTGGAATACTTTTAAAAAAAGCAGATTCATAATAAAACAGATAAATAAAAATATTTTATTTTAATAAAAATATAATTAATATTTTCACTTCTGGGAAAAAACGAAATTCATCAAATTTTTCATAATTTGTATAGTTGAATTTTATACGACAAATTAATTATGTTAAACAAAACTTTATTTTGTAGATTGAAACAGGAAACATGTTTTTAATTTATATTTCTTTTTTTTTATTTTGTCTTAATTAATAATTTCACTATGGCGTGCTTGTTTTTTTTTTAAATTTCATCATAATATTTAACATTTATATAATAATATTCAAATATTACATAAATTTGCTCATCTTTTTTAATTACTTATTTTGTATTTGTTAGAAATTTTTGTAGATATTTTAGCTATTATATATTATAGTACCTTTTAAGAACTACTTAAAAGAGAGTTTAATTCTTTTATAAACAACTGGTACTTTTAAATTAGAAACGGAGATTAAAGAAACCGGAACCTAAAGGAGAAAAATATAAAAATTCTTAAAGCTGTTATAAAAAAAAAAGTTATATTGTTTTTTTGCTTTTATTCATTTAATCGGACCCCTACTAGATATAAACTCATACAAAAAGTCATAATTTGAAGTTTTTGAAAAAAATTTATTTAATTATTTTTTCAGAAATAAATAGGCCAGTGTCTAATATCGTTTTTATGATTCTAGTATCTTGCTAAAACAAAAATCAAAATAAATATTAATTTATTTCTTTTAAATCAAATTAGACTCGACATTTGATTCTATACATTTTTTTGAGACATTTTGTACGAAAATTTTACTTTAGTGGAAAATATTTATTTAAAGCTCTGAAATTAAAATTACTAGTCATATTTTCTTAAAAAATTTAAATAAACATAAAATAAACCTATAATATGCTAAAATATTAATAAACCTGAATTAACCCAATATAAACCTCTGATCAATATTAGCATTTATATTAAATAATAATCTAAGACATTATATATTTTAAAATAATAAGGTGGGTGTTAAGATTAATATAACTAATATATATAAAGTACATCGGTAGGACACTATGCCATTTTGATTTTATAAACTTAAATAATGATTTTAGCAGCTATTATTTTCTTAAATAATTACAATTCGTCATTGACATATACTTTGAAATTTCAATATCTCAATAAAAAATTACTAAATACAAAAGGAAGAAAATGATTAACTATATCTTTTATTATGCCATGTTTAATTAAAACATTAGTAAAATTTTTCCTTTTTAAAAAAATAGCAATGTATCTTCATGACGCCATATGTTATTTATTCTATTAATGATTAATTATTCTATTATTGTTTTATTTTTTATTGTTGTTTTATTCTATTATTGTTTGGTTAGTTATTCTATTAATGTTTAAATTCAATAAACAAAAACCATATCATTATTTTATTCTTATCACAAAAATAAATAAAACAAAAAAATTTAGCATTTTCTTAGCAAAAAAAAAAAAATTAGAACAATTCATAATCACAGTACTATATAATTTCAGTTAGTAATTATAAGAAAAAATCTTTTCACATAAATTCTCATCATATTCATTTTTTATTTTATGGTTTAAGATAAAAATCGTTTCATTAATTAATTCTCTATTATAATAATAATTAAATAATGATTTCTTATTCATTTAAATTCAAGACAGTGAATTATCGTTATTTCTAAGTTTAAAGCGATATAAACTGAAAGTGATTAATAAGAAAGAAGTTATGTTTGTTATACATTAAGACCAAACGGAGCAATATTTCATTGTAAATTGAAATTGACTTAGATCACTTTCAAAATGGTTAATTTATTACATTATACATTATATTAAAATAATAGTAATAAAAATAATAAATAAATTAAAGTAAAATTAATACTATAATTAAACTCTCTTAATACGCTTTATATTATATAATCGTAATGTAGTTCTTTTTTTTATTATTTTTTGTCTAATTTTATTTGCTTCTTTGAGTTTACCTTGGAAATTTCTTACAATGTTCTTAAAATATAGTATTTTTTTGCTTTTATAAATGATAATGTATTTTATATTATATTGTTGTTTATGGTTTTATTTAAATTTATTAATACTTTCTATTTAATATAATATTTTCTCACACATACAGAATTCCACTTTAATTATACATTCATATTAAATTATAAATCATTACACAAATTAGTATACATATATATATACTATATATCTTTATATATGTATATGTATATGTTACTTGATTACGCAAATATGTTACATTCCTTTTTATATAATATGGTATATATGGATGCAATTTTCATACCATATGTATGATATCGTGTGCATTACATTTTTATATAACATTGTATAACATCATACGATGTGTACATATGTGTATTCTGTGTATGATACACAACATATTTGGGTATAATATATTCACGTAATTTAAATCTTTTCAATTTTACAAATTAATTTTAATTTCTTTAAATTAAAACTTTATTTCCAATATACATACATATATTGTGTTTTTTTTATTGCAAAATTTACATAAAGTCAAAATGAACTTGAGAAGTTATATAGAATTATATAGAATAGTAATTATAGTTAAGATTACAAGTCATAAAAATAAAATTTTCAATTGTTTTTCTTTTTTATTCTGCACTGTAGTTAACTTTTAAAACATTGAAAATATTTTGAAAAAGAGCTAGATAATCAATCAGCCATAAAGAAAATTGTACATTTATGTTATAACGCTGTTATGTTGGAAACGGAAAAACTTACTGGTATTATTTTTACATTTAATTTCGAATTAACTTGTTTCAAATTGTTTTTTGTTTTAATTTTAAATACATATTCAATTTTCAAAGAGTTCCTGATTCAAATGCTTTTCTACATCAAAATGCAGTAATAAAATAGTTAAATTCGTAATTCAGTGAATTCATGTTATTTGATGGGGTGAATTTTATGAATTATTAAAATTTGTTTTACTGCTTTTTGAAATTTGAAATGAAATGATTTTTTGTCTTTACTTGACACACATATAATACACTCATTTTTTTTTCCTTTTTTTTTATAAATATTACATTTCTATGTATTTTATATTCAAAACATTCAATTAGTTTTGAATCATTTTTGTTTTTTGGCATAACCTGGAGATAAAATTGATTAAATGCTTTCAATAGAAGTTTATTTAAACATAATCAGTTTCAATTTTATAACACAATGTGTAAAAATTCAATTATAAACCCTTTTCTTGTTTTTTCCTTTTTATATTTCAAAGGTTGAAGATGTATAAGAACATCTTGTAGTATGTAATTTTATAAAATATGTATTTTATCTTAAAAATCGGAAACTTTATATTAGATACAATTGTGTACAAAAGTTCTATTATAAATTTTAATAAAAAAAAAAGAAAAATGTAAGAATACAAAAACACACAGGGATAAAATTACATTTTATACAAATTTATTTTTTTTGTTTTTTTTTTGTATTTTAAATAGGGTATTTCTTTTGTAAAATATTAAAAATTAAAAAAAAATTAAAATCAGTCTGAAAATCTATTTAAATCTCATAAACTATTATTATTAGTATTACTATTACTATTTGTAACAACAACAGCTGCTGTCCCAACTGTTGATATTAAAGGTTTATCTGGTAAATCGCCAGATAATGATGATGATGATGAAGTTTGTGGTATTGATGGTGATGTTGATGTTGAATTATTACTATTGTTACTATCATTTATATTACTAGGATCCCTTCTAATATAGAATAACATATATGGTTTACATTCAGCAACTTCAGATGATAATACCTCTTTAACTGTATGATCATTAAAATGTAACCATGTACCATTATTAATTGCATATGCGGTATAATGACCAACATTTGCCATTTTTCTAAAAATAAGAGCAAAAATTTATATATATAATTTTAAAATAAATAAAAATTTTTAGCATAAAAAAAATCATTATTTTAATAAAAGTAAAAAATAGATTATTTTATTTTTTTAGTCAAGAAGATGAATATTATATTTAAAAAACAATTTATGTATACAATATATGAAACAATCTTGTTTACCCATGATGAACAATCACAGCACCTAAATCGTAAATATTGTTTGCTTGGCTACTTCTTCTTGTCTCTGTACCATTATTTAACACATATTGTGACATATCTAATGCTTTTAATGGGAATGATATTTTTAAATCAATTTTATGAAATCTCGTTTGTATATTATAACGAAATCGTTTAATATGAAGACATAAAACATTAGGTAAACGTCTAATCCAAAATCTTTTTGTTGATTTTTGTTTACATTTACATGAAGTACAATAATACAATTCTCCTACATTTAATTCTTCAACCTAAAAAAAAAACATTAAAAAATTTACAAATCACATAATAGTGAGTTATTTATTTCACATAAATAATGTTAATTCACATAATATATTTAAGCAAAAATGTTATTTAATTAATTACCTCCATAAAACTTGATATACAATCTTTTAAATTACATATTGGTTTTGTTTCATTTGAATTTTTACTATTACTATCGGAATTATTTGATGATGTAGCTGATGTGGAGCAATCTTTACAAAATTTTTCTGGTATATCTAATGATAAATCTAAGAATGGATCATATTTTCTACTTTCCATGCCGCATATTAAACAACGCACTTCATTTTGTAATAAACCACCAAAAACATTTGTTACAATTGAACTTTTACTGCCTCTATAATTATATATGCCACTGTTATTATTATAATTTACGTTATTATTGCTACTACCACTAGAATTATTATTATTATTACTATTATTACTATTGTTATTATTATTACTATTATTATTATTACTGTTGTTAGTATTATTATTGTTATTATTAGTATTTGCACAACCATTATTATCTTTTGTTGAATTTATTTTTGTATTTTGTATTGTATTATTTGATTCAATATTATTAGGTAAATGTTGTAATTCAGTATGTAAACGATCTAACATACAACGTAAAAATTCATGTGCATCATTTTGTTGATCAATATAAAATTGCGGAAAATTCCAACGTAATAAATATTCAGGTGTTACTGGTTTACCATTGCTACCTTTTCCTAAATCAATTAATAATTTTCTTAAATCTTTTAATATCATTGAATCATCCTCATAATTTTCTTTCATGCTACGCGAATGGTAGACACGTTGCTTATATTTTGTCACATTATTACTGCTATTATTATTATTGGTACCTTCTTTTTCTAAGCATGGTAATGAGCAAATATAACAACTAAATTCTTGTATATTACTAAGAGATTGCAGTACAGAATTCATAAAACATGTTTTACCCAAATTTCGTAAACCAACAAAACGTCGGAAATTTTTATTTTGCTGTTGTGGTGAAGATGTAGAAGACGATGATACATTACTATTACTATTGTTATTAATAGTGCTATTATTATTTGAATTATTAGATTCATTATCTTTTGTTGCAGTCCCTTTTCGTTGAATTTTTCGACCTTTTTTACCTTCAGTTGTACTATCATTTGAATTTGCACGTTTACGTGGCCTTAACCAATAACTTGTATCAATTTGTAATTGTACATCCCAACCGGAATCATTTGATGATATACTAGCGTTTGAATTATTCGATAATGATTTTATAGATGAGCTTGACATCGTTGTTGATTCTTCAGTATTTGATGATGTTTCAGATTTTGTGTCATCTTCATTTGCTAAATATTGTCGAATTTCTTCTAATTGAGATGTGGAATTTATAATAAAATTGTCACATTTATAACTGAATTGATACAGTTGTACAATAACGTGAAAAAATAGAAAAAAAAATTTTTTTGAGAATATTTATAAATTCTTCATTAAGAATTTTATTGACTTACCAATATACAGAAAAGTCTACAATGCTCAGGCAAACTTTATGATTCGTTGTTTCATAGTGACTAAGGGCATGACCCTTATCGTATCGACTACATAGCGTTATACCACAATTTAAGCACATCCAATTATTTTTTGAATCACAATCATCTGAAAAATTAAAAAAAAATTATTAATTTTAATGCAGTTGGATAGGTTGCTATATTATATTTTTCTTTTTTTTTAATAAAATCCTAACATTATATTAGAATAATTACACGAACTTAAAATAATATTAGAAATACGTTAGATTAATATCTAAGGAAGGAATGTTGTAAACTAAATTTTTAAAAATATTATTTTTATAATTATTTTCGTTTCATATTAAAGCAGTGGGCAAAATACACATATATAGCGTACAAATAGAGATAAAGTTGTTACAGCTTAATATTAACGTATGCATGCATACCCTCATATTTTATTTTCGGATAAAATTAAGTGAAAGTAAAAACTGTCGTACACAGTAATTTTCAAATGAATCTTATCAGTTACTTATGTTTAAGCCCTTCTTTGTTTTAATCAATTTTTCAATTTTTTTTTTTTTAATTTTTAGTATTTATTATAAGTTTTCGAATTTTGTATTTTCATTTCGAATTTAATATCAGAATAATACAGACTTAACTTAAATAAATATACCTGTCTACTCAAGCCATTAAAAGAAAATTATGTTCAAAATAATAGTAAAACTAGTACTAATAGGTTTGAATATTAAATTAAAACCATAATCCTAAATTTAATGAAAATTAATTTTTAGATATTTTGATAACATGTAATTTGATTGAAAGCAATTCAGAGTACAAAGAACATGGGGTAGATGCTAGCTTAATGTTCCCGGAACATCGTCAAAAAAGGCAAACAACAGAAGAAGACATGACCGAAATAGAAAATACTACATTAGAATCTTCCACAGAAACATCTTCTGATAGTAATAATGAAGTAATTCCAGACATTGTGACTGAAACCGAAATGAAAAACAACAATATAACAAAAGAACCCGTCGCAATCAATAATTTGATGAACAATTATAATCAAAATTTTAATAACAAAATAAAAAGCTCAATAATTAAAATTATTTTCGATATTCAATCTAATCTAAAAAATAATTCCAATATAAATATTTATCCTATATTTTATCCTCTTCGTAATCCTAATGGATATAACCAAAACTTTTTCCAACAACCAATAGAAAATGAATTCAGTTTACCAACAGATACAAAACCAGAAATCTTTTCTATTTATGGAAATCAATATAGACCATTATCATCATTATCAATTGGAAAATACAATAATTGGCATCCAATACCAAATAATTATTTCCATCAAAATAAAGTTAAATATTATTTTTATGAACCAGTGTCTTCAGACCATTATAATAATAGACCAGAATATTGGAACAATAATTATCAACATTCAAATCGAATAATGAATAGTTTAACTGATAATTATCAAAATTATATTGATCAAAATACACTTATTTAAAATATTTTATTTTATGTCATTATTATTATTAATACACATTAATATTAATATAATTATTGTTAATTTTCTTGTATCGAAATACATTCATTCATTTAAAATGTAATATTTAAATGTTCAATAAATTAATTTTAATAAAATGATATTTTTTAAACTATAAAATTAATTAAAATTGTTGAAATGAAATCGAATTATACATGTACATCATTTTGTTAGTTCAATGGAGAATGGTCACTTTTTTATTAAATTTAAAATTTAAATAAAATCTTATGTTTAATATTATGTTTCATTTTGAAAAATATGCGAAAAATTGTTTCAATATCTATTTAATGAAAAATGTGAATCAATGCAGGGTCGATGCAAAAAAAATGTGTTTACCTTGCTGATGCAATATTATTTTGGCGTTTTTGTACACTTTCTAAATCATATGATTTTGAAAAGGTTTTGTGTAAAAGTATTATTAAAAATCTATCAAAAAATTTTTTTTTTAATTTCAATTAAGTTTTGAAGATTTTAATATAACGGAACATTTAAAAATGTTAATACCGTCCATAAAGAAATAATTAACTTTATTAGCTATTGAGTTGACTTCTCAGCTGTCATTTAAAATACTTTGAATAAATATAAAATCACAAAAAAAATTGATGCACAGCTTAATATGATGCGTATTTTTGATTTTTAACATACGATGCGTATTTTTGACATTCTTGGACACCAAACTTTCAAGTATTACAACTGCTGCATGGATTACTTTCCGACTATACAGTATTTTCCAAAATGAAATTTATTTTCTCTCCATTTCTATTTTTGACAATGTTCTCAAGTTTTCCATATGTCCTGAAACTGTCAAATTAATTTGAAAATTAATTTCAATTCTCGAATTGTATCAAAAAATTTTGCAATCGATTATATTGTATTCGATTGAAATAACCGATTTACATTGCAGCCCTACCGCATAAAAAAAGGCAACCCTAACGCAAGCGCAGTAAGAATCATATGTTAAATAAAAGTACTAGATTTAAATGTCACTCATAATCAGATGAAAATGAAAGATTTCTTATGTTTTTTTCTTTAATTATTATATCAGGGTAAACAAATACATACTACATAATATATATTTGGTGGCGTATGCATGTGCATTGTAGGTACATACAGCTTTTATTTTTTGAATTTCAATAAAAAAAACCATTTGATTGAAATAGAAAATTATTAAAATTTTTATTTCAATTTTATCGCAATAAAGCTATATACATGTTTACGAATTACCGCACTGTAATAAATTTCTTTGATAATTTCTTTCAAATGATAAAATATCCAATTTATGACTAATTTTCAACTTCAATCATTAAATAAATTTTATTTTTTGCCTTTGCATTTCTAAATATAAGAACAATTCCGTATGCATACGAATGTAGATTGTGTACAAACACTAACAAGCATTATGTACAAAAGAACATTTATATAGTTTACAAACAAACCTGTGACTATTAATTAAAATGCTATAATAAAAAAAACTAGTAAGCTATTTCAGAGTTTTACAATCTTTTTTTTTTCAGCGAACAAGCATAGTAAAAATTTAAAAAAGAAAAAAACAAGCATCGTTGCAATATTTCCTTCTATGTTTACGTTATCGTCGGTTTTGAAATATGTATAACAATTCTGCTGACTTTAGGATACTATTTTTACAACGCGATTGCAAAGCACATAGGTACATATATATTTTATTTAATAAAAATCAAAATATGAATTTGAGAATGCAATTCTTTATGAAACAGCAATGGTTGGTGTGTGTCAGGATATGTTAAATTTACATGGACGCTGCAATCCCAAAAGTTAAATAATTAAAAATAAATGCGCAATAGATTTTAATTTGAAACAAAATGTGTTTCTACATTATGAAATTTGTTAAATTTTCTAACTAGACTCTTGTGATGTAAAAATTTTATTTAATTTTCATAAAGGTTAGGAACATATACCTACAAAAGCTCTAAAGAATATCAGTGTTAATGAACTTCAAAAATACTAATAAGCTAATACTGATTTTGTTTTTTTGTTTTCTATCATACCCTATATACATACCGTCATAAAAGGAAACAGAAAGAACAATTTTAACCCTACAATTATATTGTTATATGTGTGTACGGAATACAAAAATAAAAAATTTTTAAATAGGCTGTAGCTGTAGGCCTAATCAATTTATTCTATCATTTTCACAATTGTACGCACATTAAAAATATCTTTTCATACTCGTACACATATAAATTTGTTTTTTTTTATATGTATATTTTATTCTATTTAATTCTTATATATGCCTATTGACTTCATCTAATGGATTTTTGATGTAGTGCGCGAACTATGTGAGCGTGTATAGGCCTTTATTATTAGCCATAAATGTATAAAAAGCTTAACTAAAAAGAGAAAACATTCTGACCGACGTGAACTTTGAAAATACACATTACAAAAATAGCAAATCTTTTAATAAAAAGAATCCAAAATAAAAATGAAAAATCAAATTCAAAGAAACATTTTTTTTTCCTACATACATATATATTCTAGTTTATTCTTTATCAACATTAAATTACATAAGAAAAGAGGAAAAATTTAAAACCCACCTATAAAATATTAATTTGAACCACGTACCTACAATCTATATTAACTTTTTTATGCCTGTAGATACTGGCGAACATTTACATACTTATACATACATTTAAGTATGTAGGTACATATATAATTTTTTAAATTGTTAGATACGTAGTAATAAATTGAAGTAAAAAGTATGAATAATCTAATATTTACAAAAAAAAGGAAAAAAAAGCACGGCACAAAAACATATCCAAAAGGAAAGAACATAAAACAAGAAGAAAAAAAACGTGGACATCCACGTATCTCGCTTTAACTCACCCAATACAAATTATTCTGGAAATTGTGATTTTAAAAAGAAGAGGTAGCCTACTATAAATTCTTATATATAGACATTTAAGTACCATATATTTACACACATACAAATATTCAATAATATTGAAGAGGATATTGATAAATCAAATCAATTTTAATTTTAAATTTTTTTTTAAATAATAGCAATTTGAAATGAAAAATATTTTAATTGACCGCAAATACTCGTATAACACATATAGGCAATCAAATTTGTTGCTATAGATTTTTTGCTCTACAATGAATTTAATTTGAATTAATTTTAAGGAAAGGTTTAGATCCGATATCAACTTATACGAAATGCCTATCTGAGCCATCTATAACCTTCGTAACATCTGATTTAATTAAGTACCTATTTCTAGAAATTTTTCATGAAATTTAAAAAAAAAAAGAGATTGCGAATCCAGCTGATCGAATAAATTTATTTACATGAATTACCCACTCATAATGTTAATCTTATCTACGTTATGAATTTATTAATTAAAAACCTTAATAAGAATGATTTCAATTGTTACTTAAATTTTTATTCAGATCATTATAAAGTTAGTCAGAATGTTTGTTCATGCATTTTCTCTAATTTTACCAAAATTGGATGTAATATATTATATACGAGCTTGAATTTCTTTTTGGACGGAAAATCAAAATAAAACACTAATTCATCATTCATTTTACATGAAATAAAGTTAATGAACAATATTTGATATCTAAAAGCTGCCTTAAATATTGTTAATAGGCCTCTGAATCAAGGAACAAAAACCTGTTAATACTAAAAACAAATACAGTAAAATATTTCTAAAAATAACCAAGAAAATTGAAACAATTGGATATAGTTAAAAATCAACACTCATCTAGTTCATTTAATGTCGAACTAGTTAAGTACTGCCCTACGTTTTAAAGTAAGTTACAAATCAAATGAATTCAATAGAGAATTAAGAACTTATGAGTACTTAAAACTTTCCTTTCTTGTTCATTTTTAAATGTTAATGTAGATACATACAATTGTACATATATAGGTAGGTAAGGTACCTAAAAATAATTTAAAGAAACACTCAAAAATATATAACAATAAAAACTTACCCACAGCACATTTCCAAAATTTTTGTAAAGTTTGACCATTGCTTATAATTGTAGTCGAACCCATATTATTTGTTAAATTTGTAGTTTGAACTAATTCATTTTGTTGACCATCAATTATTATTGTTGTTGGAGTTGGTGAATTCGCCACTGCTTCCTCTTTTATATTATTGTTGTTATTATTTATTGTTGCTGTTGCTGTTGTTGTATTATTGCATTTATCAATCAGCTGACATTTTTTTGTTTTTACAAATGTGCGATTTATTTTGCAATCACCGATCAAATGAGGGCATTCCATGTTTTTATTTATTTTTTTTGTTTGTTTTAATATTTGCCTTTGCCTTTTTTATCAACTCTCTTCCTATTAATTTTATTGTTGTTTTGTTGTTTTAATGTTTTTTCCTTTGATAAAATTTTTACTAATTATTTTTCTATATTTTATTTGTAATATAATTAAATAAAAAAAAATTGATTAATAAAAATTTTTATTTGATTAATTTAAAAAAAAAAATTTTAATCGAAGAATAGCTTGCATGAGATTGCCTTTCAAAAAATATTGGTTTTGATGTATGTATATGTATGTAGTTAATTTTTTAAGCACATACATATGACGTATGTATGTATTTTACGCATTATATATGTTATACATAGATGTATATAATTTCTTTTATTGGCAAAAATTAATTATAATCCAACTAAAAATGCAATTGTAGAGTTATATTAAAACAATAACCCTAGTATTTTGACAAATACTTTAAATTTCGTATTAATTAAGAATTTTCTTTTTATTCCATCACTTTGAAGATTGTAAAATTATTTAATTTAATGGAGATTGTCAATACCAGCTTTAGCTGTGTGTTTATAATGGATACACAATAAATCTCCTCTACTCAAAAGTTGCTCTTTTTTTTTTTTTTTGCTTCAAAAACTTACATTTCTTTTTATTATTAAATATTAATTAAAAAATATTTAAATTAAACACAACTCCTTTTTATTGATATAAACAACATTTAAGAACTTATAGTTTTCAATTTTAATTATTTTTTATACAAAAGCGGAAAATTTAATGAAAAAATTTATTTTTTCCTTAATCTTAAAGCGAGAAAAATGTAATCTGTATGAAAAATTGTTAAAATGTAGTTGTGTAGTTGCCACAGTCAATATACTCTTCAAAAATCTACTACATATTTTTTTATTTTTTTGAAGTTTGACTCATTGGACATTAAAATATCAAAAAAAAAGTTTTAGCATTTTTTTTAATTAAACTTGGATTATAACTCTAATTTATAAGCCAAATGTAATGATTTTATGTATGTTTTCAAATTTTTATAATTTTATCTTTTTAGCATACATAAATTTAATTTAAAAATCTACTTTTATCAAAAAAAAAAAGAAAATTCAAGAAAACTTACCATTCAAATAATTTTTAGTAGTGGTGGAGTTTGGAGATTTTTTATTTTATTAATACTGATACCTCTATATGTATGTACAAAAATAAGAAAACAAAGTTAGTTGACGGCTGAGTGCAGTGACATCTCATATAAAAAATAAAAATCGATTTAATCGATTTTTCAAGTAGAATATTTATTTTTTTAAATAACCTAGTGGTTACAATAGACTTATAAAAGAAAGAAGGCATTAAAAAAAAAACAAATTTTCGAAATCGAAAAAAACTTCATTTTTAACTTTTAGACTGTACCAAAATATTTTTTCTTTCGTAAGAAGTTTTTAATGTTATAAAATTATGTATTTCTAAATGAAATAGATAATGAATTATTCATTTTGTGCAAATAAAATATTTCCTTCTACTTATGTATATTTTTATTCAGAAAAGAATAATTTGCTTTTACTTTCAGATTTTCTTTATATGTTAAAATATTCTTTTAAAAAATTTGTTGTAGCAATGGCATTTCAAATTTTCACTTATTTTAATCAAATAGTGAATTATCAAAATCACTTGAATTCCAAAAGTAATGTAAATAGAAAATCCCATTTGACAGAATGTAGGGAGATATGAATATGTTCAAAGAAGATATAATTATGGTCAATCTATTAATTTAATAAGCCTATGATTCTTACAAGTGTCCATGTTCAATGAAAAATTACATAATTATGCATGTGCATAATACATACGATTTTTTTTTATTTGAATATTATTGTCATACGTTTTTTCTGTCAGTCGTAATTATAACTCCATAAAACATAAGAAATCCATAATAAGCTTCAAAACATCTTTGCTTGTAGAATCTATTTTTACTTACTGCCTTCTACGTGTAACATGTTTTTTAAATTCTAACAGTTTTTTTTTTATATTTTAACTTTTTTAATTCAAAAAATCATTTTAAAAGAATGAATTTTAAATACCTTAGTGTATGGCACTAGATAATCTACAATTTAAATAATCTACAAATACAATATATTTCGAAAATATTTTAACAAAATTTAAAAACGCAATAAAAACAATTTTCATCTCTAATCGTTTTGCTCTGTCTCTTTTACGTTATTTTATGGCTAGAATAATTTTTTGAAAGATATTTATTATTCACAATGGCAACACTTTATAACAAATGTCAAAGGATTTTATTTTGTTTATAATGTGATATGTCATGTTTTTTGGGTTGTCGGTCGGTATAATTACAATGTCAGCTGATTTTTGACATCAAAACAAAAAAAAAACGAATGAAATTTACCTAGGGAAAAAGAAAAACAATAAAAAAAAAACTTGCGCAAAAACAGTAATTCTCTTATAAAAATTTCTCATTTTTTTTTATTATACTTAAGCTTTTTTTCAATATATTTGAAATAAAATTTTAGTTCCCAATTAAATGTGTGAATCTTTTTACTTCAGTTTTAAATTGTCATTGAAAAGATTTGGTTAAAATTGGTGGCTTGATGAATCCCCCGTGCGGGAATTCAAATAGACTAAAAGGAGGAAAAATTTTTTTTTTAAAGAAAAAATATCTTCAAAGTCTTTCATTGTTTATCAAGAAAGAAATATAAGAAAAAAAATAATAATTATTCGGTTTAAGGTGTAAAATTTTTCCTAATAAAAAATTTGAGAGGTCATATAAAATTCGTATTTTTAATATTGCAAAGTTGAGAAGTAATAATTTGCAGAAATTTAAGTGTACCTAATACCATGCTATTTATAGTAATTAAATTAATATAATAAAAGTCCATAATACTATTGGGTATTTGATAATATGAATCAATTTTATATCAAATAAGTCATGTAATTTTGAGAATCATTTGTAATAAATAAGAAAAAAATATTGAATAAGAATTAATTAATTTACCCTTACTATTGTGGTGTATGAAAAGTAGTGAAAAATCGAAATAACATTTTGACATATTCAAGTCTTGTGTGCTATTATAAAAATGTGTGCGCGATAAATCATTAAAAAGAAAAAAATTAAAGAAAAAAAAAATATCTAGTGAGATGAACAGATGTTATTTTCTATTTTCAAATATCTAAAATCTTTAATAATAAATTATATTTAATCAAGAAAAAATTTTTATTAGAAAATCAAATTTTGTATAATTTTTACATTTATAATATGAAAGGTTTTCAATAATTAAACAACGATAAAAAATCTTTATTTTATTTCAAAATAATCTTAATATATAACCGCATATACCTATCTACTCATATAACATATTCTTTAAATAAAATAACAAAAAAAATATAAAATATTCCTATTCTTTCATAATTATTAAATAAAAATGACAACAGTAATACCATTTAAACGTTTAGGAAATCGTTCATCATTACCATTAAGAAGTTGGGCTAATGCTCGTAATGCTATGGCATTTGCATCAATATTACTCATTATATTACTATATGTAATATGGACATCAACAGGTAATTCGACTACAACGTCAACCTCAAGTACAACTTTGATGTTAAGTTCATCAGCAAGTTTAAATACAGGTTCAAATAGTGGTGCTAATAAATATAATAATGATATTAATAATAATAATAATAATTACGTCCGAGCACCATCATCTTCATTAACTTCAAATAATAATAATAATAAAGAATTATTATATACAAATGAAAGAGAGGAGAGAATAGATGCTCAAAATATTAATAATAATAATAATAATGATAATATTATAGATAATAATGCGGCAGCAGCAGCAGCAGTTGCTCTTGCACCAATATTATTTGCAGCAAAAATTGCTGGCGCTGAAAATTTTATTGTTGCTGATGATCATAAAAATTCTAAAAAATTCAATGTTATTTTTGATAAAGATAATGATGATGATGATAATTCACATAGTGATAATGATCATATATTATATGGTAATAGTTTTGATGGTGGTGGTGGAATTGGTTCTGGTGAAATTGATGAACGTTTTCATCATTTACATCAATTAAATCAACAACAACAACACCATCATTATAATCAACATCATCATCATCATCACCATGATCATGAAAATTTTGATAGAATTGGTGGTATTGTTAAAATTGAAAATGATGATGATGGTGGATTATTAAATAAAGGTAAGAAACAAATAACAAATATTAATAAAAATAATAGTAATTATAATTCAATAATAAATAATAAAAATATACAACATCATCATCATTATAGTCATTATAAAAATCAATATCCAAATAAATATCAATATAATAATAATTTAATAAAAAATAGTTTATATAATGATAAAGAAAATGTTAGTATTACTAAAAATACAACACATATCAATAATAATAATAATAGTAATAATAAATATAATAATAGTAATAATAATCATAATAATAATACACGTATAAATAATTATAATAATAAAAATTTACCAAAAACTGGTAAAACAAATTCTCAATTAAAAGTGGAGCAATCAATTGCAGCTGCAGCCGCTGCTAGAGCATCTAAACCAGCTGTCAATATAATTTATAAAAAATCTCTGCCACATACAACTGATAAAAAACGTAAGTGGGGTTGCCACAAAAACAAATAATTTTAACAAAAAAAAAAATTTAATTTTTTCTTAAAATTTTTTATTTATATATATATTAAAAAGGAAAAAGAATTAAAACAAAATTAAAATTTTTAAATTTATTTAACTATATATTTATTTTCTATTTAATATTTAATTTTTATTTCATAAAAAATTTCATTATATAATTTTGTTTATTTTCATTCATTCATTTTATAATTTTAGGTAAGAAAAAATTAAGAAATGAGAATTAAGTATGATTTAATAGCTACCTAACTGAATTATGTATATCGAAAATTTTGGAATTGTGAATGCTTTAAAATAACTAACACTTCCGGCTCCAACCTTTACTTTCTAACTAGCTGTTTAGAAATAATTAAATTATTATTGGAGAGAAGCGGTGATTTCAATATTTTTCATTTCTCGTAAAAAAATTACAATTTAAAATAATAATTTTTGGAATATTATGTGTTTTATACACTATCAATAATCGGTTTTATTTTATTGAGAGAGAAATTTAAAAAATTACAATACTTTATATTGGATTTTTGATAATTCAATTCTAAGTCTTAATATAAAGTACTTTCGATAAATGCAAATATAGAACGAAAAAATTACGATAGAAGACGTTTAAGTATAATTGAAACGCGATTTCAAAATTGAAAAATTCTTATTATCGTGAATAACAAACAGTTTCTCTAATTTTTGATTACCTAAAATTTATAAAATGCTTAAGTATACTTAATATTTCTTTTTGGTTGTTTTGTAATTTAAAATTAAATTATATAAAATATTTAACTTTATTAATAAATAAAAACTTAATCATATTCACGCCTTATTATTATTAATTAAATTATATTTAATTACTTAACAATTAATTTATTAATTTAATTAATTTTTAAAATTAAATTCTTTGTAAAAATTTTAATTTATTAATGCTTTGCTATTATTTTGTTGTTATTTTTTATGTTTTTTTTTCGAAATATTATTGTAGATATTTTAAAATTTATACACACTTTAACTTATACTTACTCTTTTTTTGTCACATCTTAATTAAATTCACTTAATGTACTTAACAAATTCACTTAACCATAATAATTATCCATAATAAGCATTTTAAACGTATTTCATTCACTTAATATTTTTAATTAAATTATATTTATATATTTTATGTATTAATATTTAAGTTTTCATTTATGTTGTTTTATTTTATAATATATAATATAAAAATTAAAAAATAATTATTCATCATACTTCACCACCACAAATGCACATTTATTTACTCACTTTTTTATTAAATTAAAAATATTATTAATTTTTTTTTTTTTAACAAAATTGGATTATAATTGTATATTGTTTATTTTGTTATTTTAATATTATTATGATTTTTATAAATTAAATATTTATTTAATGTAATTTTTTTATCTTTATTTTTTTTCGTTTGTTACTTATATCATTAAACATAAATTATCTACTTTAAAAAAATTAACAAAAAAAATGTATATATATATACTTATATATATTTCTACATATATTATGTATATATATAAAAAAAATTAATTATTATTTAATAAAAATAAATAAAATTTTATTTAGCACTGAAAGAAATAAAAAAAGTAGGATTTGGCCACTTTTAAAGTAAAAAAAAATTGAGTATTGCTCGTTATACTTATTAAATTATTATATATTATAACAATAATTATTTACTTTTAAGTACCCATAATTAATATTGCTAATTATTTTTGTAATATAATTATATAAAAAATTTATGTATTTTATTAATATTTTATAAAGTGTAATTGATAATGTAAAATATCAGAAGAATTCTTTTACATCTTAATCGATATTGCAGTTAGCAAAAGCATTGTATTAAATATTTTTAACAGAAAATATTTTTAATTGTTGATTGCCGATTGTTGAGCATCAGATGCAATTGTTGTTGACCGGCATTTTGTCATTATCAGTTACACCTATAAAGAAAACAAAAAATTTTAATTGATTAACTATTTTAGTATTACTTATTATAAATATTCATTACGGAAATATTCTGGGTTGAAAATATTTAAAAGTCTGATTAAAATTTTTTAATGCTTTTCAACAAACACATTTGTACAAATTAAATTTTATAGGATAATGAAGTATTCTAGGCTTATACAATAATTTAATAATCACTATTAAATTATATTTTTTGAAGAGCTAATTTATAGTGAAATCAATTTACAAAATCCTAAAAAATTATAAAATTTTTATAATCAAATGGCTAGTGTGAATATTGCATAAAGATTTCCAAAATCTCTATTAATTATAAATCTTTGGAAATTTGTAATAAATCTGTTGTACTTAAATCTAACCTTATAAAAATTGGGTGATTTGTAATTAAATTTCGATTACGTTAAATAAAATTAGTCATTTTTGATTATATATATAAAATTTTCGAAAATAATATAAATAAATTTTTGGTCTACTTCAAATTTATTAAAATGTAATAAGTAAGTATAAGTAACGTAACTAGCATCTTTATATTTCAAAATCACAATAAGTAAAATATATTAAATTATTTTATCTTTTACTTTATCCTTAAAAATATTTCTTTAAAATTAGAAATTTAATATTTTCAACTTTTCAAATTTCCAAAGTTCTCGCTTAAAAATCCTTTTGATTTTCAATATTTCTCTCTTATAATAATAATCATACTCAATACCAATAACTCTTTCAAAAATTATAATTTAATAGTTAAATAGTAAATGTTATCTACTATTTTAGTAATACCCAAATTATCAGAATTTGTACATAATATTTTTCAAAATTTTTCTTTATTTTTTTTTGTAACCTAACAAAAAAATTATTTTGAATTTTTTTATTTTTGTTTCAATAACAAGAGAGATGCTAGTTAAAATAAATAAATGCTAGTCAATTGTAACTGGTTAGGATCTAAAAATATATATATATTTATTTTTATATTTAAAAATTAAATAAGTAAAAATAAGTAAATGAAATAAAAATTAAAAAAAAAATACTAATTTTGAATTTCTTAAAACTTCAGATATTCAATTTAATGTTTCCTTTTTTTATAAAATATTTATTTGTTTCCTTAACAACATTTATTTATTTTTTTCTTGTCTTAAAATTTTTTTTTTATTTTCGGTCCAAAAGACAAAAAATATTTTCTAAATACTTAATTCGAAAGAGAACCAAAAAAATAAAAACATATTAATTTTTAAAATTAAATTGAACAAATTGAATTTTCTTATGTTTTATATTTTTTAGTAAATAATCAAAAAAAAAAAAACGAAAAAAGTGGCAACCCTACGTTATTTATAAAAAAAAAATAATTGAAATTATTTTTCATAGTTAACCTTTTTTCTTTTATATTTTATATTTTAAATAATTATTATTTTTTTTTAAATATTTTAAATTATATTTTATTTTACTTTTCATAAAAATTTTAATTGTTTCCCTTATATTTTTCTTTATTCTTGATTTTTATAGCACTTTTCCCCAAAAAAATTTAAAAATTTTCTTATTAATTACATTCTGTCAGTTCGTCCATTCGTGTTACCTTTGAGACAGAAAGCTTAAAATAGTTATTTACACAAATAGATATTTATTAGAAACTTCTTTATTGTAACGAAACCACAAAATGTTTTTAAATTCTGCAAAAGTCGAAAAGTATAGGCTACTTCTTCTACCTTACCGCATAGCATAGTTGATCATGAAAATGACAAAATGGCCTTTAAAATTTACCGTTATCTAAAATACGTTTCTTTTTTCAAATATTTGATACCGTTTTTCTTCTTTGCCGTAAGTTGTTTGCCGGATCTGAAATTTTATCAATCTTTATTTATTAATAGTTAAATACGTTAGAAGAAAATTTTTTTTCCATCTCTTTCTCAAGTTATCAACTATTGAAATTGTAAAATTTGAATTTTCAGAACCTTGTGTATCAATCATAAACATAAAAACATAATTATTTATCTTAGCTTATTAAGTTAACCCTTGAATTCGACCATTATTTTAATAAGTCTTTTAATTTTTTTTATCTCATCCTAAATATATGTGATAATTGAGATATTTTTCTTTATATATGAATGAAATTAATTTAAATAATGTAATTGCTTTAAGTAATTTAAATATGTAATTCAATTGTGGAAATAGGAAAAGTGTTATTTTATAACACAATTTTATTTAATTTCGTTTTAAATTCTTATATTTTAATATTTTTCTATACAATTTATAATTTCTTTTTCTGTGTTTTTTCTTCTTAATGTTTGTTTACATTTTTAAATTTTTTTTTAAATTTAATTTAAGTTTTTAAGCACAAAAAATTCAAAAAAACTTTGTTACACTTCATCAAAATTTGTGATATTCAAAACAAAAAAATTATTTTTATTTAGTTTTTCAAAATTTTACATGTCGTGATTCAAATTACAAAAAAAGAAAAAAAAAGAATGTTTTGTTATTTTGAAAAATTTTTTTATTTTATTTTTTATTTTACATTTTCAAAATTACATACAACATACATACATATATTATGTACACACTATATTCATTAAAAATAATTTGTAAAAAATTCATTTTCAAATTTTTTAAAATTTAAAATTTAATTGTAATGCAAATTCCAAATTTATTTAGCAATAAAATAAGAATTTTTAATTTTTTAATTTGAAAATTATTGGAGTAGAAAAAAAATATAGATTTATACTCCAATTATAAAATGTTGGAGTAGGAAACTGCTTTGAATAGAAAACAATTACTTAATTGTATGAAAACTCTTCCTAAAGAATTTTGTTTGAAAAAGAATTTTGTTTGAAAAAGAATTTATGAAAATTTACCCCACAAATTACACGATTTCACCTTGGAATTAAAGTGATATTTGAAACAAGTGTGTTAGACTGGACTTTCATTAAAGCATTCACTTTGTAATTTTAATCATGTCCATACAAAATTTGTATATATTTGTTGAAGTGTTTTGAGTTTTCCATTAATCATATG